GGTGAAGGACAGGGCAGGCAGGGGTGAGCCACAGGCTCCGGGTGCTGACACAGACAGGGGAACGGAGAGAGGGATCAGTGCCCGTGTGCCCCTGCCCGCCCCGCTCCACCCTGGTCTTACCTTGGAGACCTTCCTCTCAGGGGTCTTGGTGCAGTTGCCCATGGCTTGCGGGCCCCCCCGTGCCAGAGAGCATGCCTGTGCGGGCCTGGCGCTGGCCCCGGCCCTGGCGCTGTGCCTGGCGCTCTGGCCGGGGCGGGGTTTTTTATAGTAACAGGGGCCGGTGGCTGCGTGGGGATTTGAGGTTTTTATTGAATATCTCTGGATATGCAGGGCGCGGGGGGGCTCTCTCCCACACACACATAATCCCGGGATTACTCCCCTCTCAGTCACGCCGCTCCGGGCACGGGGACAGCTCCAGCTGGTCCCCACATGGCCCCGCTCCCCACCACCCGGCACCCAAGGGGCTCACGGCCCCTCTTGCTCCCCCAAGGCCAGCTGGCCGGCCTGCTGCCACTTGGGCACCTGCCAAAGGGGCACTGCTCCCCCAGCTGGCATGCAGCCCTAATCGCCAATGACAATCACCAGGGATTTACAAATAACTCCCAGCGGCGGGCAGTGCCGCCCCGAGCCCTGTGCACCATCCCTCGTGATTGCACGGGGGGGGGGGGGACGACACCAGAGGCGACATGTGGGGGGGCACACAGAGTCATGCCCCCGCTTCCAATTTCTGCCTTCCATTTAGCAACAGCTAAATATTCTGAGGGGACCCATCCAGCGGGGCCGCTGCAGACTCTGCCCCACAGGGCACTGGGGTGGGCAAGGCTTCCGGCCGCCTCTGGGGGATGCCCAGCAGCGAGAAGGCAGCGGCTCCCCCCTGGAGGCACTCACCCCCATACACGGGGCTGCTTCTCCTTCCCTGCTGCTGAAGCCCCAGCGCTCCCCGCTGCCTGCTTTGCAGGCTGCCCTGGGGCGAACGCCACGGGCAGGGCAGGGGCCACTCTCCCGCTCCTGTAGCAGGGGCTCTGCCCAGGGGCTGCGGCGGGGCTGGCCCTGCCTTGCGTTTAGCAACAGCTTCTATCTGAGGCTGCCGGTGTGTCTGCAAATGCTCACTGGGGGCATCGCGCCAGCAGGGACCTGGTCCAAGCAAGCCTCTGGCAGGCGTCTGGCTCGGCTGCATTCGCTGCAGGGAGCCACGGAGAGAGACGGGGTGGCTGGTGCCTGCACAGGCCCAGTGGAGGCTGTGGGCCTGCCCCTGTGGAGCTGGGTCACAGCCCAGAGCCCACTGATCCATGACGGTGCTGGCGGGTCTCACCATACCACCCAGCTGCTGCTGCTCCAGCCTGCAGCGTGGCCCGGCTCCCGTGTGGCTGCTGCGCTGAGGGGAAGTCAGGGCTAAGCCTGGGGCATCGCAAGGCACCTGTGCAGGTGCTGGGGCCCAGAGCCCCCCAAGGCGGCACCATAGGGATTGGCCGAGAGACAACCCCCAACTCTGAGAGCCCAGCCCAGCCCGGCCCGGCTCTCCACACCGGCAGGGCCAGGGAGCATCGCCCAGCCCGGCCCGGCTCTCCACACCGGCAGGGCCAGGGAGCATCGCCCAGCCCGGCCCGGCTCTCCACACCGGCAGGGCCAGGGAGCATCGCCCAGCCCGGCCCGGCTCTCCACACCGGCTGGGCCAGGGAGCATCGCCCAGCCCGACCCGGCTCTCCCCACCGGCAGGGCCAGGGAGCATCGCCCAGCCTTGGCCTACCCCACCCCTCTGCCCAGTCCACCCCGCCTCTCCAGCAGGCTCTTGGACCCTTCCCCTGCAGCGCCGCAGCCTGACCATGCTGCCCGCAGGAGGCCCCACAGGGGAGCCTGACCCTACCTGGCTGGCTCAGGGTAACTCCACCAGGGCGGGCCTCGCCTGGGCAACTGGCTGGGGGCATTTCTGGGATATCACCCCAGGGACCCCCACCCCTATGCCAGGCAGCCCCTCCCCTGGTGTCTCTCACCCTGACCCCGCCATCCCTCCCCCATTGCCCCAGCTCCCTCCCCGCCACCCCATCTTTCCCACTGCCCCCCAATCCCGCCCCATCCCCGCTGCCACCCTGCTCCCCAATCTTGCCCCACCCCCTCCCCGCCCAATCACCTGCCCAAAGATGGAGCTGAGCATGGGCATCAGGTCCTCGGCATCCTGGGGCCCCTCTGCAGGGGCCAAGCTGGCCTTGCCCGACGCCGCCTCCTCCTCCGGGCTGCAGGCTCCGTGCGGGTCCCAGCCGGGCATGGCCCTCCTCTCTGTGTGCCCTGCAGGGCCAGGCGGCTCCTCCCTCCGCCGGCTGCGGCCACCCCTCCTGTGCGAGCCCTGCCTGCTGGCTGGCCGCTGGCGGGAGCTGCTCCGGGGGACCGGGCGGGGGATCCGGGGCTCGGGCATCTCGCCGCTCAGGCGCTGCGACTCACGGAGGAAAAGGAACATGCCAGGGACGCTGAGCTCCCTCCTCCTGTTCTTCTCCCTCCCGCCTCTTCCCACTGCGCTCCCTCCTTTTCTCCTCTTCCTCCTCCCCCTGCCACGGCCACGCTCCCTCCTCTTCCTTCTCCTCCCACCACTGCCACGCTCCCTCCTGCCCTCTTCTTCCTCCCACCAGTGCCGCGCTCCCTCCTTCCCTCCTCTTCCTCCCACCAGTGCCGCGCTCCCTCCTTCCCTCCTCTTCCTCCCACCACTGCCGCGCTCCCTCCTTCCCTCCTCTTCCTCCCACCACTGCCGCGCTCCCTCCTTCCCTCTTCTTCCTCCCACCACTGCCACGCTCCCTCCTTCCCTCCTCTTCCTCCTTCCTTCTCCCACCACTGGGCTTCCTCTTCCTGACACAGGCCTTCCCTCCCTCCCTCCTAGGCTTCCTCCCTTCTCCCCCTGCCTCCGTCCTTCCCTCAGCCTGCCACACACCCTGGCACCCTCCCTCTGGCCGTGCTGGGCAGCTCCTGGCTCCCTTCTCTCTGCGACTCCAATGCAGGCTCCCAGAAGGGCAGGCTCCAGCTGGCAGCGCTGTCCACCCCCGCCCCCCTTGCCCGGGTCCCCTTCCTGCCGCCTCTCCGAATCAGGTTCCCTCATTGCCGGGAGTGAGATTGCAGGGGGGTGGAGGGGGAAATCGGATCTGAGGGGTCAGACACGCAACCCGGCCCCTTCTCCGCCAGGTAAAACTACCCGTGCGGCCCGAAACCGGAGAGTGCCTGGGGCTGCCAAGGGGATGGTGAGAGTGGGGCATCCTGGCTACAGCACGTGGCCTCTCCCAGCAGGGGGCGCTGTAAGGACTGGGGCAGGGGCGCAGGTTGTGGGGGGAGCTCCCAGCTACTCCAGCCTCTTCCAGCAGGGGGTGCTGTGGGGCATGGGGCAGGAGTGCTGGTTGGGGGGAGGGCAGCGGAGGGGGTAGGGTTCGGAGGGGTAGGGTGGGAGGTTGGGGAGGTGGGAGGCTGTCTGTTGAGAGATGGTTGAGGTGGTAGTGGCTGTGAGGCTGGCTGCAGGGAGGCGGGGTCCCGGGCTGCGGGTGGGGTTGTGAGACCCGTGCAGTCCCAGCCAGCTTCCTTGTGCATCCGTAACTGGATGCCACCTGCCCAGCACCGTGAAATCCGAGACAGTGGGCACCGGCCCAGCTCCCCCCGCCAGCCCCCCAGCCGCTCCCGCCTGCCCACATCCCACTCCCCTCACAGCCGCTCCCTGCCTACATCCTGCTCCCCCCACAGCCGCTCCCTGCCTACAGCCCCCCCAGCTGCTCCCTGCCCACACCCCACTCCCCCCACAGCCACTCCCTGCCCACACCTGCTGCCCCCACAGCCGCTGTCTGCCAACAGCCCCCCGCAGCCGCTCCCTGCCCACAGCCTGCTCCCATACTCCCCCACAGCTCTCCCAGCCAGTTTAGCTCTGCCCCCAGCTTGCACCCCCCACACCTCTGTTCCCAAATCCCCCTATAGCCCCCAGACACACACAACTCTCCCCCAACAGGTCTCCACAGCCTGCTCCCTCCCTCAGCTCCTGCCAGTGCCTCCCCCAACACAGATCCCTTGAGTTCCCACCAGATCTTCCCTCCCCCCAGCCCTGTGGCCCCCCTAGTCCTTGGACCAGCTCCCCCACACAACCCCACTCATCCCACCATCCCCACAGAGCTCCCCCCACTCCCTTTCCCGTGGCCTGCATACCCTCCCCCGGCCCTCCTCCAACCCCCTGCCAGCCACCATGCTCTCACCCAGCCCCCCCAACTACCTCCAGCTGACCCAACCCTCAGCTGCCCCCTTACCGGCCACACCCAACCCCGTCCATCCCCCCAGCCTTTACACAACCCCTGTCCAGGCCCCCCACAGGCCTCCCAACCCATTCCATCTCACTCAACCCCCACCCTGCCCCCCAACCCCTACCTGCCCCCCCAGCCCTCCCCCTATCCCATCAGATGCGCCCTGGCTGTGAAGTGTGGGGGAAGGCTCCTGGGGAAAAGCAGTCACTCTGCGTGCAGCATAGAGCTCCCTCCAGCCCTGCGGGGCTGCGTGTGGGGTGTAGGGTTTGTGTCAGACATGCCATCTGTTTGCTTTGGGAGCAAAAGGGGTGATTCAGACCCCCACCCCCAATAGCCCTGCCTGCATTAGCTGCAATGCATGTGGGGTGGCTGCCAGGGAGGGGCATCCCTCCCCCCAGTATCTGCAAGAAATCAGGTCACCTCCCAGGGTGTGGAAACTAATACCAGGGAGGCAGCCTGGGGGAATGACCAAGGTAATTACAGCCAGGAAGGAGGGGGACCCCCCCGCACACTGCCTGATGGGCTATGAAGACATCCCACACACACACACACACACACACACACACACACACACACACACGAGCTGGATGGGGGAGGGGAGTCCCTGAACTCAGTATGTGGGAACAAAAGGCTGCCCCAGGGGGCTGGGGGATCAGTTCTCTTCCTCCAGAGAAGCTGAGGTGAAGCCACAGGAGTCCCCGCCCCCTTTGTGCCCCCACCCCCACCCCGAGAGGGGTTCTGCCCTTTTCCTCAGCCCCTGACACCTTTTCCCCTGTGTTCCCCAGCTCGGTTCCCACCTCTGAGCTGGCCTTGATGTGGATTTCTCAGGCTTTGGGGCCTCTTTGGCTGGCTGGCCCCTCTGTGAATTTGGGTCAGGTTCAGCTGTTCTTTAATGGCCCAGACAGG